TTCTCTATCAAGTTTTAAGTTCTAGTTAACTAAAATTCTAACAGTAAAATGTGATTAGTATACATCCTTATTTCTATATGCTTCTGGTTTCAGCACGGCTGTTGAGAAATATCCAAACAATCGAATGTTGGGTCAACGTGAGATTGCGAACGGGAAGGTGCTACCATTTCTATTTCATTTGGCTTTTTTAGGCTTGTGATATTGTTTTCTAGTTTGATAGCTTTATCTATCTCTCATTTTTTTGGTTCTTATCAGGCAGGAAACTACATTTGGAAATCATACAAAGAAGTATATGACATTGTCATAAAACTCGGAAACTCTCTCCGTAGCTGCGGGATTGAAGAGGTTATAGCTGCCTATTTTTTGCTGAAATGTGATACTTTTTGTAGCTCAAGTTTTGAATTTTTGGATATGTGGAAATGTAATAGGGAGGAAAATGTGGCATCTTTGGTGCAAATTGTCCTGAGTGGATCATAAGCATGGAGGTACGTAAAACGTTCCAATCTTTTTGCTAATGTATACTTGATTACTTTTACTTTGAGGATTTATGGTAAAGCACTTCTGATGCAGGCTTGCAATGCACATGGTCTCTATTGTGTCCCTTTATACGATACATTAGGTACTACGCCTTCTCTATATCACATTCCTTTCACCTATAATATTACTCGATGCATCAACCGATATCCAGAGAATTACTGCGACTATTTCATCAGCTAAATGCACATGTCGTCTAATGATTCTACTCTTCTGAGTCTTTCTAGTGTATTAACTGTCCGATTTTGAGCAAACAGGCGCTGGTGCCGTGGAATTCATTATTTCTCATGCAGAGGTTTCAATTGCTTTTGTGGAGGAGAAGAAGATCCCTGAGGTAACATAATTTCTTACTCATGAGATTAACATATACACATTTTAAACTAATCTGAGGATTTTTTTTTGTCTGAGGATTTTTTAACTTTTCTTTTTTACTGTCAGCTTTTTAAGACATGTCCAAACTCCACAAAATATATGAAGAGTGAGTAAATACTAAATAAACCACACATC